ACTTTGACATGAAAGAGTCTTATTTTTGTGGTGAGTTATTGTCCCAAAAAAAAAATACTGTGAAGCCGGGACAAGGGGAAAACTTCCAGCTCTTTGTCGAGCAGGTCTCTCAGTGAGCTGGGATGTGTTCCTGCTGCCATGTTAGCGCCTCGTTCTGCCCATCAGGCCGTGAGCAGCGCGACTCCCTCCACACTCCTGGCAGCGGCTGCTGAGTCGTGAGTGTTGGAGAAATCTTAAGTGAGTGACAAAGATCCTGCATGTTGTCAGCCGGAGAGAGTCGTCCTCACTGCAGATTTACAGTCGATCGGCGACAGCTGAGCCGGGCGGCACCGAGGGCACAGATCTATTTCCTGTCCGGGGAGGAGGAGAACCGTGCAGGGGAACGTCTCCTTCACATTGTTGGCTATAAAAAGCTGAGCCTCTCGGCATCTCGTGAACCAGTCGCCACAAGGTGTAAATAGTTGTGATGCACTGGAGCACGCAGCAGGTCAGAGCCACATTTCAATATGTGCTTTTATAAAAAAAACTCTTTTTTATTTTACTTTCTCCCAAGTTGAAAAATTGACAACAAATCTGGATGTTAACAAACTGAAGATGACCGCAATGTTTGACCGCAAAGGTTAAAGACACACACAGCTACGCAGGAGGAGGAGGAGGTGGCGAAAAGATGAATAAGAAACCTCCCACAGCGAATGGCATGTCTGCTATTTGTGGAAGGACGGAGAGCTTCTGGTTGCATGAAGATACAGCAGCAGCAGCTCTGACAAGCGCGATGAATCTGCATGCCATCACATTCACAACCTGTACGACTGTCGAAATCTGACTTATTTCAATGAAATACCTGCTGACGAGGTAAACCTGCTGATGTTTTAGACTCATATCTCTGTCAGACACATTCAACAGATGTTCAACACAAAACGTTTGTCATCGTTCTTCTCCTTTGTCGTCCAGAACTATTTAAAACACCCGTGTTGTTCTTGAACATTGTCACGCTGGTTTATTTTGAGCAGATCCCAACCGTGATGTCCTGCTGAGTCCATTTTTTAAATATACGACACAGAAAAGAACACGAATGAAACAAAATGATAAAAGAAAGTGAGACCAAACAAGACAAGCGAGATACAAAAGGAAATGAGACACAACACGACACAAAACAACACAAATGAGACAGGAAATGAGACAAAACAAAGTCGCAAAAAGAAAAATGAGACGCAGCATGACAAAAGCAAGACAACACAACTCAACAAGACATAAAACGACACTTACGAGACATAAAATGTGACACACAAAGACGAAATGTGAAAATGTGAGACACGCAACGACACAAAACGACAGGAAAAGAGACGACACAAGCGAGACACAAAAAGAAATCAGACACAACTCGACAAAAACGGGACACAAGTGACGCAAACCAGACAGGAAACGACTAAAGTGAGACACAAGATCGGAAACAAGACACAAAACAACACAAATGAGACACAAAACAACAGAAATAAGACACAAAAAAACACAAATGACAAAAAATGAGACCAAACACAAGTGAGATACCAAAGAATATGAGAAACAAAGTCACACAAACACGACACAACAAAACACAAATGAGATAGAAACTACGACAACAAGCGAGATACCAAAGGAAACGAGACAAAAAGCAACACTAACGAGACACAAAAAGGTAAAAAAAACAAAAACAAAAGGGAGACACAACGAAACAAGCAACTCAAGCTTGACACAAAAGAAAAATGAGACACAAAACGACACAAAATGAGACCAAACAACACAAGCGAGATACAAAAGAATACAGGAAACAAAACAACACAAATGAAAATCAGACAAAACAAGACGAGAGAGACACAAAGAAGACAAAACAACACAAACAAGACATGAAACAAAACTTAACGAGACACAAAATCAGACAAAACGAAACATCTGAGACACAAAAGAAAACTGAAACACAACACGACAAAAACAAGACAAAACAAGACCAACAAACACAAAGTGAGACACAACGACACGAAACAAAGGAAGTGAGACATAAAAGAAAGACGAGACGGAAGATGTGACAAAACTAAACGATACAAAAGAAAACGAGACACAAAACGAGAACCTAAACGAGACCAGTGAGACGTTTTTGAACCGTTTTTTGAACGTTGTTTATCGGTTTGTTGCTCAGGATCGACTCTTTAGTGACGCTTCAGAGACCAGATGAATAAATCAGCACCAACAGATCCTTTTCATTTCCTTCTGTTTCTACTGAAGTGGCCCAACCAGCTCCTTGTTTACGTCCAGCCTGCCGACCTGCTCCACAAACCCGGTTTCATGTGATCTTCTGGCTGCTCATCGGGAGGTCGTAACTCAACCGTTTCCAAAACGCCTGGGAAAGCCCTGCAAACGCCTCCGACAGGTCGGCAGTGAAACACAAGCCGCGAAAACCGAGAGACAGCGGCTCGGTTTCTGGAGGCCTCGGCAGGACGGAGGGCTGGAACGCTGCAGAGGAGCTGAGAGCTTCCTGCAGACGGACGGGACTTTGTTTGGCCTGTTTGGTCGTTTATCGGACAGCAGAAGAAGACTTTCTGACCAGGAGCTCTTCGCTCAGGTGCGGCTGCAGATCCCGTAAGTCACGACGCTCCACAACTATTTTTAGGACGACTCGATCTGCAGCCGAGGCGGTCGAGTTCATTTACATTTAAAGAATCACATTTCTACAAAAGTCTGATGAGAGAAGAATCTGAGTCATGACTGGACTGTTGCCGCCACTTTGGTCCGTTACAGATGAATTCTGATCGTATTTGGACTTTTTTCAGCTGAAACTTCCAGAGAAACCAAAAGAAGTCTTTCACAGCTTGCATGCAGCTGCTAATGTTCACGCTCATACAGTCACTGCTTCATGCAAAACCAGGGGTGTCGAACTCTGGTCCTCGATGGCCGCAATCCTGCAAGTTTTAGATGTTTCCTTCTTCCAACACACCTGATTCAAATGATCAGCTCATCATCAAGCTCTGCAGAAACCTGATAACGATCCTGATCGTTTGAATCAGGTGTGTTGGAAGAGGGAAACATCTAAAACATGCAGGACTGTGGCCCTCCAGGACCAGGATTGGAGACCCCTGTGCAAAACAGTCTTTGTTAGAAAATTACACGAAAACGAGACACGAAATGACAAAAATGAGACAGAAAGAAAGTGACACAGACGACACGAGATGTGAAATGACAAAATGTGACCAAAAAAAAGACACAAAAATACAAAAATTGGTGTAAAAATGTCCAGATGTACCAAAACAACTTCTGTAAAGTTTGCATGCAACTGCTGTTTACATTCATACAGTTACTACTGCAATAAGTTCATCATAAGAAAATGCTTTTTACCATTATGTATAATTGTACAACTCTGTTTATTAGAAAATGACACAAAAACGAGACACAAAATGATTCAAACCAACACCAAATGACAAAAAAAAGACAAAACCGCACAAATGAGTGCAAAAATTACCAAAGAAACCAACAGAACTCATGATGTGTACACTGTTTATGGAAAATGACACAAAAACGAGACACAAAATGATGCAAACCAGACAAAAAATGAGAAAAAAAAACTACACGTAAAATACAAAACAAAGTCACATTAAGGCAAAATGACAAAATGTGACAAAAAAAAATACAAAAATGAGTGTAAAACTTTCCAGATATACCAAAAGAACTCCTGTAAAGTTTACATGCAGCTGCTGTTCACATTCATACAGTCAGTATTCAAATAAGTTCATCATAAGAAAGTGTCATATTACCATTATGTGTCCGGTTTATTAGAATATGACTCATAAACGAGACACAAAGTGATGCGAACCAGACATAAAATGACAAAATATGACCAAAAAAAAGACGTAGTTCTCGTATAACAACATGCTGTACACTGTTAAAAATTAATGCTTTTTTACAGTTTTACTGTTATTTTACATATTTTTCCTATTTTGTGAACTTTTACATAATCTTATTTTACATGTTAATTGTTACGACTAAAGGTCAAAATAGCAAAACAACGTCCACATCACAAAATCTGCATTTAAATTATTTTATTTAAATGTTCTCAGTGTTTGACTATAAAATTGCACGTTTTCCGGAATTAAAATTGTTAAATTTACAGATTTTACTGTTATTTGAATGCAAAATAGTTTATATTAAGAATTGAAAACTTTAAAAAATATATATTTTTAACTGTTGTTTACAGATTTTTATATCGAAAATCAAAGAAAAAAAAAAGTTTACTTACATGTTGAGAAAGAAAAAAAACAACAACAGTCCAAACATGAAAAATCTGCATTTTTAAAACAATACTTTGTACTTACTGCAAAATAGCCCAGTGTAAATGTAAATCTGTGAAAAATGTAATTGTTTTACAGATAATTTTTTTTGTTTGTTTTGTTGTTGTTTTGTTTTGTTTGTTTGTTTTGTTTTGGGGTTGTTGGTGTGTTTTTTTTTTTGTTGTTGTTGTTTTTTTGCACTTTTTGCACATTACAGTTTACCGCGTTTTTCTTTTTTTTAACAGAATTTATTCCTGACACTCTTGCTTCAAGATATTCTCTTTTTTGTTTGTTTGTTTGTTTGTTTTACACACAGCGTAAAAGACAACATTGATGCTATAAATGAGAAAATCTGTGTATTTTGGGGGCATATTGATAAACAGAAAACAAAACCATACACTCAGTAATGTCAAGAGAAACAGTTCAACTCTCACCTGAAACCACAAACTCTCCACCAGACATAAACTCCTTGTTCCTGTTCACATGTTTCAACAATAAATTCTGGTTCTGATTAAAATTAAATCTTCGTTTTCTTCTTCCTCCAGTTTCCATCGAAGCTCCAGAGTTTGGACTTCAGTGTTATGGGCAAGAGAGACGACATCGTGGACTCCTGGAGAGGTGACGCTAGTTCATATTTCTATTATATATAAATCAGTGTTTACAGATTTCAGAGGCAGGAAACAAAGTGTTGTGTCGCTCTGTGTTCTGTTAGACGGTGATGAGGCCAGAACAAAGTCTGGAAGCTTCAAGCAGCAAACACAAACCTCCAGCGAGGACAGCTACAGCTCGGTACGACAGGCGGATTCTCATTGGTTCCCGGTGTTATTGTTTACTTCCTGTTTGTTTGTTTAGTAGTTTGAGCTTCTTCACATGAGGAGCATAAGACACACAAATGAGACACAAAACAACAGCAAGGAGGGAAAAAAAAGTCCCAAAGAGAAATGAAACAACACGAACACGGCACAACGACACGACTGAGACGCAAAACGACAAAACAACACAAAGGAAACAAACGAGACACAAACAACAACAAGAAAGGAAAGAGAGCAAAAACAGACATGAAGCAACGTGAACGAGATACCAAACAAAGTGAGACACAACATGACAACAACGGGACTCAAAACAAGACGCACGAGACAAAAAAGTTAGAAAACACAACACAAGTGAGACACAAAACAAAACGAGACACAAACTGTCCGTGGAGCCCTGTGGTCACGTGTCCGTCTGTCCGTCTGTCCGTCTGTCCGTCTGTCCGTCTGTCCGGCAGCCGGTCGACGCTCCGCTGGACTCGGCGCCTCCTGCTCCCAGCGGCGGCCACGTTGGATCGAGGAGGAGCCAGAAGGAGACGGGCGGCGACTACGACGACGACGAAGGTCACCTGGTTTACAGCGAGGGCCTCCTGATGCAGGACAGATGTACGGACAGCAGCTTCACTCGTATCAGTCAGTAAAGAGTAAACAAACAAACAAAAACAGGCCCAAACGGTAAATATCTCACAGTCTGTGTCTTTATAAAAGTTAATTCACTCTTTTAGAAGACTAGACTGTAAAATAACACATTATGTTTATCAGCAAACAAAAAACAACAACAGATATTTGCTGTTATTAAAGATAAACACGTTTGCCACAGATATAAATAAGTTCACTAAAAATGTTCACTAAAAACACTATTTACAGATATTTGTTGTTATTTGAAAGAAAAATTGCAGCTAACAAATTACAGATAATATCTAAAATCACAGAAAAATAAATAAATAAATATGTTGAGTGAAAAAGATTAAACTGTAAATAATGACCAAATCAAAAGTCTATATTTCTACTAATTCACCCTTTTATGACATGTTACCATCAAATTAGAGTATTACAGGATTTAAATGCAGTCAAAAACTCTTGATTTTACAGATAATTTCTCATATTTAATTACCAAAAAAAAAAAGCTAAATATTTTTAGGACACTTTAAAGATTTTCCCTGTTTTGTTAAATTCCAAATAAAATTTAGTAAAATCACATAAAAGTATTGATTTGCTGTAACAACACAAACAAACAACAATAAAATGACATCATTGTAATGCAAAAGATATATTTTATAGATATTTTCTATTATTTAAAACAAACAATTTGTATATTAAGGACTGAAAATGTTAAATTGTTTTGATATGATAATATGAAGAAAATGATAATTTACATAAATAAATTCCTAATAAGGAAGCAAAACATCTTTATGACAACGAGTTTGAGACGCTGACGTTATCGAACCTTCAGCTTCACCAGAGTTGGACAGACAAGGCAGAAAAAGTTCAATCCACTTTAATCATGTGGGAAACTGACAGCAAAATTCAGATTTTCACATTTTCAAAATGAAGATTTAAATAATTAAAAGGTCCTGGTTTCAGTTCAGGGACCCCAGAGTGGAAAATGTGCAGCTAACTGCTCTTATTTAAACTCTCTTTCTGAATAACAGGGAAAAAGCAGAGAAATTACTTTGAAATGCATTCTGCACCTCTGAAAATGAAAGTAATTTACTGACCACAATTAAGCTTCAAACGTGTTTTGAAAAGCGCTGTGCTGTGCTGGTGCTAATGGAGGAGATTTTGGAACATCCTGATTGTATTTTTCCACCTGATTCTCCTGTTTCGGGGAACATGTTCTGTTCTTGCAGTAGCTGCTGGACAAACCTTTCTAGAACCCTGAATGTCTTTAAATGTCTAACGAAGGTAATCAAAGTCGTCTGTCCTCCCCAGATGAGGTGGTTTCCACGCTGGGAGCCGGAGCTTTTGGGAAAGTGGTGGAGTGCATCGACAGACACAAGTAAGTGTCGACATGACGAAACTCTCAGAACCAACAACTGAGAACATCCAGGAACCAAAAGCAGTCGACTCATCCATCAACCCGTTTTGTTTTTTTCTCTTCATGTCTGCAGCGGAGGCGAGCGAGTCGCCGTGAAGATTGTGAGGAAGATCGAGTGTTTCCGTGAAGTCGCCAAGTCTGAGATCGCAGTTCTGGAGGAGATCAACGGCCTGGACGACGACAACAGATTGTGAGTGCAGCCGGAGAACCAAGAAAAAAAAACCAACAGGAGGGAAGAAATACATTCTCATTTCTCTGTTCAACCTCAGGAGAAGTTCTCAATTTCTCAGAATGTTCATCTTCGGCAAAGTATAGATGTTCTAAAAATGTTTGGCGATAACATTGTTAGACCGTTGTACCCTAAAGTTCTTAAAGCTAAATGTTGCACTAAGAACGTTCTTCCTTTGTTGTCATGGAACATTTCAGGAATGTTTTATAGATTCTTTAATGTGTTTCTTCAACAACATCCCCAAAACATCCTCAGAACATAGCAGCCATCATGCTCCCCCTTTGATAATATATTACGAATGTTCTGTCGTTTGAAGCCTTGATAACATCTGGAACATCCATCCTTTGTTATCATTGTGGAACCATGTGATAGTGGAATGTTCTACACTGTGTTCCACCTTTAATGTATCATATTGCAGGAACATGAAACGTTCTGTATGAAAAAAAATTGTCATCTGAGGCCTTAGTATCAACTGGAAAACATTTTTTTGAATGTTGGTTTGAGAACATCCTTCCTTTGCTGTAATGGAACATTGTGAGAATGTTTTATAAAAGAACGTTCTATAATGTGTTCCACCTTTAATAGATCACATTAGAGGAACGTTATGAAGCGTTCTGTATGAAAAGCATTTTCATCTTTGATAACGTCTGGAAAACGTTTTATGAATGTTGGTTTGAGAACTTTCCACCTTTGTCATCTTGGGACGTCATCAACGTTCCCGACAACATCTTTTGATATATTAACGTTACGGGAACATTACTTGAAATAAGAACATTCTTGAGTTTTTGTTTGTTGAGAAGCGACGCCTCATACGTTCCCTCCTCCATCTGCCAGCGCCTGTGTCAGGATGTTGGACTGGTTCGAGCACGAAGGTCACATCTGCATCGTGTTCGAGCTGCTCGGCCTCAGCACCTTCGAGTTCCTCCGACAGAACGGGTTCCTGCCGTTCAGCGTGGAGCAGATCCGACACATGGCCTTCCAGCTCTTCAGAGCCGTCTGCTGTGAGTCCAGGTTCTCCAAAGTGTCTGACCTTGTTACTGCCTGTGTTTGTATCAAAGTTTTCTTTTAGCTCCCACAATGCTCTTCTTAAAGGTAGGAGAACTCTTGATGTTCTAAAAATGTTTAGTGATAGCACTGTTAGGCCGTCATGCCCTGATGGCATCAAACCTTAATGTTGCACTGAGAACGTTCTTGCTTTGTTATCATGTGACGTTGGAACCGTGGGAGGTTTTACAATGTGTTCTCTCAACAACATTCATAGATCGCATTACAGGAACATTCTACAAATGTTCTGTATCTGTATTGTCATCTGAGGCCTCCACAACATATGGGAAACATTTTTTGAATGTTGGCTTGAGAACGCTCTTCCTTTGTCGTCATGGAGCATTGGGAGAATGTTTTACAATGTGTTCCCTAAACAACATCGTCAGAACATTTCAAACAGAACGTTCCAACTTTGTTAATGTATCACACTGCAGGAACATTGCTTCAATAACATCTAGACAGCACTCTCTGAATGGTTTGAGAGCGTTCCTTCTTTGTTATCATAGAACATTGTAAAAATGTTAAATAGAGGAACGTTCTATAATGTGTTCCTTCAACTACATCCCCAAAAAGTTCTTAGAACATTGCAGGCAGAATGTTCCACCTTCCAACATTTTATAAGAATCATCTAAAACATTGTCATTTGAGAATTTGTAAACATTTGGAAAACAGTTTTTTAATGTTAGTTTGAGAACGTTCATCATGTCACCATGGAACATAATCTGTGTTGCTGACAACGTCCTTCTAATGGTAACTGAAAAACACTATATTAATGTTTTTAGGACATTACCAGAAATGAAAATATTCTTAAAATGTTCTATGAACATTTGATGAAAACGTTTTCTTTAAAACATCATTAGAACCTTGGAGGTAATGTTATCCAGGTCTGTGGGAACGTTCCCTGTCGTTAACTTGTGTCTCTGCTACAGTCCTGCATCGTAACAAACTGACCCACACGGACCTGAAGCCGGAAAACATTCTGTTTGTTTCGTCGGACTTCAACCTGGAGTTCAACGACGAGGAGGTAAAAGTGTCTCCAGGCACAGAACCCCAAGTAAAAGACGTTCTGCTGCCATGTCGAGTGTTCAGGGGCGTTGAGCGTTGTGTGTTTATGTTTGTGTTAGAGACGTACGGAGAGGAAGCCGAGGAGTCTGGATGTGAAGGTGGTGGATTTCGGAACCGCCACTTTCGACCACGAACGCCACGAATCGCTGGTGTCGACGCGCCACTACCGAGCTCCAGAGGTCATACTGGGTACAGCTTCGTCACGAACACTCGCCGAAGTAGCAAAAGTCGGCGTTTCGAGTTCGATAATTTTTTGTTTTACCATTTGTGCTCAGATCTGGGCTGGAACCAGTCGTGTGACGTCTGGAGTCTGGGCTGCGTTCTCATGGAGTTCTACCTCGGACGGACACTCTTCCCGGTACGTTAACGAACACTGGTATGTTCACGGACGCCGACAGAAGCAGCACTGAGTCATTCTCTTCTACCTGTTACTGTTTCAGACACACGACAGTAAAGAACATCTGGCCATGATGGAGAAAGTTCTGGGACCGATCCCACCACATCTGCTGAAACAGACCAGGTAGTCACTCGTACATGTTCTTGTAACGTTTCCAGCAAGAGCTTTTCTTTTA